CCTTCTATAAGTCTGGAGTGATAACTTGCATTATCCATTACTATTACACAGTTCTTAGGAAGAAGATCTATCATTTGTTTGAACCATTCTTGAAAGACATCAGCGATCATGTCTTCATGGTAGTCACCGGTACGAGTTGATTCAAAAGTTAATAAACCACCTTCAACAAAACCGTCTGAACTGCCAATGTGTACTATTATCAGCCTGCGTCCCTTTCCTGATGGTGGGTTTAAACCAGTAGATAAGTTATTTACAAAAGCGTGCCTTTGACTTGTAACAGTTTCATCCTGCCAAAATTTATTTGGTGTATGACCCTCGTTGATCCATGTTTCATCAAGATAAAATATTTTTCTTTTTTGGTTTCTCATTTCCTTTATGGTTCTTAGAAAATGTCTTCTCCATATGACAATATCGCTTCTTTCTAATAAAATAGACTTTCTGGGATTCTTTTTCCAGCGGAAGCCTATTTCTTTTAAAAGTTTTCATAACGTACTTCGACTCATTTCTGGGTAATCCTTATTATCTCGAACTGAGACAAGAACTTTATCCAATGTTGGAAATTCTTGTCTAAAGAAGAATTCATGCACTTTCCGTCGAAGTCCTTCTTTAAAATGATATTCTATTTGAAATTTTGGTTTCCCTGGAGCATTACGTGGCATTTGAAAACTACCACATTTCTCTTCTTTAATAACTCTGTAAATAGTAGATTTCCCAACACCAAGTGTACTGCTAACTAACTCAACGGTCTCATCAACACTTTCACATAAACGTTTGTCTGTAAATGATTTAAAACAAGTAAATATTGATGTTTTTTCATTAACTGTTAAAGGACCAATTTTTCGGCGTTTACACGACACTTCCAAATTTTCCATAACACTAGTATACACAATAAACTGCACCTTGCAACTGAAGTACCTACTTTTAGTGAACTGTTAAGAATTTTGAATACGCCACTTGGACCTTCATACAAAATGGAAAAACCCACTATCACATTTTCTGTGGAATAAGTTTAGAAGGTAATTATCTAGTCAATCACTGTCGTAGATTCCTGGAATCAAAGAATTAAATGTTTGATTGTTGAAACCCTTACTTCGTGGAATGCACTCATTTCAGATAAAATAAAACGTTTTATTTTATCTAAAGAATTAAACTTTATTTTGCAAATAGGTAGGTACTCATTAAACTTTTATTGGTTATATATAACCAATAAAATAAACATCTTACATTTCTTGCAAATTCATTAGTACCTGTTAACCTCCATCACTCCGACACTGGCAACTTTATTTAGGGATTAGTAACCCTCACAACTATTGTATTCTATTCTGCTCCAACCTTTATACCTGGTGGTCATACTCAATTTAAAATTGTTTTCCTATATACTTCTGTAAACTTGTTGACAAATATCTGTTTTTCATTGAGTCACCCGTATCAACAGTTTAGGGATTTGCATACATAATTTATTGTTTTATTACTCTCTCATACATAAAAATATACTATAGAAAGAAATCGAAAAACTTTGACGCCCTGAAAACTACCTCTGGGATGTTCCATACCATGTTGTGTATTAATAAAGAAAGAAACTGTTATTTGCAGTCTCATACTGTATAGTGTATACTGTAGCTTCAAAATAGTTTGACTTTAATATTACATTGTTGCATGATGTTCGACATTTGACATCAAAAATTTTTTTTTGTCAAAGTTTTCCTCGTAGCTAGATTTTTTCAATATTTTTACTTAAAAACAGAATTAAAATTCTTATCTGAGAATTTATTTTTGACAAAAATCAAAAATTCATGTATTATAGGGTTAAATAAAAGGTAAATCCGGTACAGATACACAAAAATTAGTGTACATTAAACTAGCAATACTTGCTAGCGAGATCGCCCGGTAAAGTTTTGAGATTTCCCATCGGCACTTGAAGATGATCCGCAGCTCCTCGTCAATCGTCGCGTCGCTCCTCAAAAATTCTGTTCTCCTGATCGACACGGTACGTTCGTTAGACTTTTGCGCACCATTCCTACTTGCCATGTTTCGAAATCAACCTTTCTCCTCATGCGTAGAAACAATCCGAACACCACAAACACAAAATGATTTGGAAGTATCAGTTTGTCGCCAAATTAATTCAATAATCAAGAAAAATGGAGTCAAGAACATTTAAAAAATAATAGAAACAATACTACAACTAGCGAGCAAATTAGTTGGTTGTTAAAAGAACTCTGGAATGGGTTGGAGGTGGCTATAATTCGCAGAAGATGAATATAAATGAATGAACGTGGTACATAATTTCGTATATACTGGAAGATAGCTGTAGTTTTTTGGTTAACTAACCAAAGACGTAGGGTCAAATCAAAAATAAACGAATTTGTATAATATTAATATTATACAATGTTAATTAAATATGTATAACCTTTCATAGACGTGCACTTTTACAGTATTTACAAAAAACAAAACAAAATTCCAAAGAACAACATTTCATAAATAAATAATACCGTTGTTGAAGAATAAAGATGCTCCATTTTGGTTAATACTAATTCTAAAAATTAATACCAACTACATAGGCATCGCCAATTCTTTTCCATTCTTCTCTGTCTGTCGCTACTGTCATCCACCTAGAGCCCACGTGCTTCTTGATATCATCTGCCCATCTCATTTGGGGCATTCCTCTGCTTCGTTTATATTCCCATAGTAACAATAAAAAACTGAAAACTTTGTTTTCAAACTTCCACAAAATTTATTTTAAATCTTATCACTACAGCTGTTTCGGCTGATTGCCTTTCTCAAGTGATCTATTTTTGGCTTGGGTTTACAAATTTATAGTCTCTAATGAAATAGGTTGAGGAGGGGAGAACTGTTTGTAAAAAAAAAAAAAAAAAAAAAAAAAAAAAAAAAAAACTGAGTTCTACGTTGTTCTCCGAGTGCAGAGGTACCCTCTCGCCCGGCTCTGGAACCCAATTGAGCCATGTGTTACCTTTGGTCAAATTTAATTTAATATTGAACATCACAGTTATTTTATAACACAATGTACAACATTTCATAACTAAATGTAATTTAAAGGGTTTTTACCCTAATATTTTGGTGGCTCAGGCATTATGACCTAGCATTTTCGATTTTAATAACCTGATGATGGACTGTGTGGTCCGAAAACGTTTGTTTTATTGATGTGGCCCTTTTAAGGGTTTTTTAAATAAATATACCCATTTACAAAGATTAACCTCTTTTTGTTATACGTGGTATACAGCCAGCTACAGGAATTTTTCCTTGTGGATTTAGAACTGTTTGTCTCAAGTTGGTCATTCAGAATTATATCTGTGTTTTTTAATTTGTTGATTTCCATAGATTCTAACAAAGATAGCTTAAGGCCTTTATTTTTAATGTGAAGAATTTTAAATTTATCATTAAAAGAATGATTATGATCTAGAAGGTGAAGTGCGTATGTCGAATCTGTTTTTCTATTCTTGAAAGCCCTTTTATGTTCTGCTATTCGTTTATCAAAGTTTCTACCAGTTTGTCCGATGTAAGTCTTTGGACAGTCGCCACATTGAAGTTTGTACACACCACTATTTAAGTGTTTTTTATTTTGGCTCTTGTTATTTTTAATATATTTGCCTAGGTTGTTATTTGTTAGGAAAGCTGGTGTTATTCCTTTCTTTTTTATGTGTTTGGCAATTTTTGTTGGTTTTTTCTCTGGTGGTGGAAATACTAATTTTAGGGCTTTCTTGTGTAGTTTTTGATTTAACATTTTATTAATTGTTTGTTCGTTGTATCCGTTGTTTACTGCTATTTGCTTAATTATATTTAATTCTGTCTCAAAGTTGTATTTTGACATAGAAATTTCTGTTAATCTATGTAACATACTATGATAAGCTGCCAGTTTATGTGGTGTTGCCAATAGTAGTACAGTATATTATACTGTAATTGTTGTTTTGGCTTCCTTATATATATTGGCTATAAGTTCCGTATATTATCTGTGGTCAATTCTGCTGTTAATCAAAGAACTTTTCACTACCCAATGTTTGACCCTGTCGAAAGCCTTTTCAAAACTATGAACGCTATATATAGAGGAATGTGGTATTCCACATTGATATATATCCAATCATCCAATATGAAATTGGATGAAAAGTGCTAAAGACAGAGCACAATAGACAAAAATGAGGGAGGCCTATGTCCAGTAGTGGACGCAAAGGGCTGGGTGATGATGATGATGATGATGATGATGTGGTATTCATTTGCTCGTTCTCTAAGTATTTTCATACTTAGTGAATGGTCAATTGTGCTGAATTTCTTTCTAAAACCTGCTCGGTCTTTCATCGGCTGCCTGACCCGCTTGGCTATCTGACCGACTGTTCTTTAATCATAACCTCAAATAATGTGTTTGTATTTTCATGTCGGACATACTTTGTAATCTCTTTTATGTATTCAAAGAAATTTTCACACCAAAAAAGTTGATTGTACTTTCACAGTAAACATTATTTCGGTTTGAAAGTGAGATATTTTTTGCCTATTGTTGATAATTTTGTCTATTTAATTTATTCGCTCTTTTATTAGATTGAGCCACATTTATTAGAAGTTCATCAACGCTGGTCGAGAACATATCTTAAGCCTCTTGTGCCTCACACTGTGAAATAAGAGTTGCCTCAGTTGGGGTGTTCAGTATCTTTGATGAAAACTAATGAGAAAAATCATTGAAATTTACACCATCTGATAATTCAGAATCTCCATCAGAACTTTTTTTTTCTTTTGTGTGTCCACTTTTCGTCTCTTCGCTTTTCTGGTAATTCTATACAATTGTTCTAGTTCGTCGTGTATGCATCTTTGGGAAGGCTTCGTTTTTTTTTTTCAATGAATCAATTAATGAAGTTAAATTAGCTGACTTTCACATATTTAGTCTGTAGTAATCTTTAATATTGGTCATAAAATTCATTTTCCTTCTAGGTAATTACATTCTTATAAATAAGTAAAATTTTGATGACATTTTCGTAACCAATATATTTTTGTTTTAGTTTTGGTATGATTCACGATACAGAAAAAACTGGATGCAAACGAAGAGAAGGTAACGTCATACATATCATGACGCCAAATTTCGAAGCTGATACTGTGACTGTCAACTGGTCGAATTGTAGCAGAAAAGACATTACCAGATTCTTAGAGTAAGTTGATTCTTTTTATTATGTATATAACTTAATATGTAAACAACTTCACAAGCCTATATTTATCCATAATATAAAATGATGATTTAATTTCTCTTCTCTTTATTTTTTTTTATTAGTGATTTATCTCGTCTGGTTCTGGGTCTTTTTTTCTTACTTCTGTAGTCATTGTGTAATAACATTGTTAAATTGATTACGTGTTTTGTAAAAAGCTAGTAGTAATATTTAGATAGATTAGAACTGTCTGTTATTTGTTTATTTTATCTAAATGTTTCCCAATTTTTTTCTAAACTGTAGGTTATTGATAATGCAGCATACTATAGTAGAAATAAAGATCCTTATAAAGTCATAAAGAGAAGCGAATCATATGGTTTGGTCATATTTTTCGCAGCTCTGGGGATCAGCTAGCAAATCTAATGTTATGAAAATATAAAAATTTCAATCTAAAACTCTAAGAACAACCGCTAATGCCCCTTGATATATCCAGAACGACGCCTTACATAGAGGTACTAACAGTCTCTGGAGAGTGCAAAAGAATTTCTGAACAATATCAAAACAATTTGCGTGTTCATCCTAACACCCTGGCATACAATCTTCTCCACAACCAACAAGCGAAGAGATTAAAGCGCTGTCAAGAAGATTCCTTTATAAAATGGTTCTATACCGAACTGAAAACTCCAACCCAAAGAAGTTCTCGGTTTTTTCTTCTTCATGCTGAAAGCAAAACTGGTTTTATGGCATGGGTCGAATTTACTTTCTTGGCCAAGAAGGAAACTGCTGATTACTACGACGAAATAGACGTTGATCTATATGAAGAATGGTTTGAGAAGACGGCAATTCCAAACTTGCCGAAAGACAAAGAAAACGTTGTCATTTTGGATACGTCATACTACTCCTGCAAATTTGATTTCCCGAAAAAATTGTGGAACAAAAGTCAAATCAGGGCATTTTTATAGAATTAATTTGATTTTTTTTTGTTTATTTTCTTATTTAACTCAGTTAAATTAATGAGTAAAGATTTTCGAAACGAAGCGCGTACGGTCCTGATTTCTCAGTCTATTACCAAACTACCACACAACTACCAAGGTGCCGACATGTGCGGCATCGCTGTTCGCCGTAAGAGCAGCACTGCATTCTCTTCTTCTTCTTCTTCTACTTTTGGTAGATCTTTCGATCTGTTTAATTGTGAAGCTGCCTCTGGTTAATTTCTTGGGAGGTAGATTGCCAACTATCCCTCCATCTTTTAGGTGGTCTTCCGGGGGGTCTTGAACCGGGCGGATTGTTTTCTAGGGCAATTTTTGGAAGTCTATTCTCATCCATTCGTCTTACATGGTTGTACCACATCCTCTTGCGCTGCCTTCCCCATCTTACAATATCTTGAATTTTGCACTGCTCTCTAATGTTTGTATTTCTCACTCTGTCTCTTCTTGTTTTCCCCATTATTGTTCTTAGGGTTTTCATTTCGGCAACCCTTAGCATCTGTTTCGTTTTTTTGGTATCTTCGCGCACTTCTCTGCCATATGTCATGATCGGTCGTATGCAAGTCTTATAGATTCTAATTTTACTATCTGTGCGCATATGCGGATTTGACCAGACTATCTCCCGCAGACATCCTGACAGTGCAGATGCTTTGTTGATCTGACTCCTCAGGTCCTTTACTGGGTCGTGGGTGCTTGATATATCTATGCCCAGATATCTGAATTGCATCACCTGTTCTATGGGGTTGTCCTCAACCACTAACTTACATCTGAGCGGATCTTCTGCTATTGTCATACATTTAGTTTTGTTGGTAGAGATGTTCATATTTAGTAGTCGGCTTGTTTGAAAGAACTGAAAGAGCTGCCTTTGGAGATCATCTTCTGATTCGGCAATAATTTCTGCATCGTCTGCGTAACACACCATACCAAATTCTTTTGTTGCCCATTCTATATCCGAGATTAAGAGATGTTACTTTGTTGATAATTTTGCTCATGAGAAGATTAAACAAGAAGGGGCTTAAACTGTCGCCTTGTCTAATTCCTCCCGGTGTTGGAATATTTTCAGTGAATTCGTCTCCTGCTCTAACTTTGGTTACGTTGTTGTTATTTAGGTTATGGAGTATCTTTGTTATACTGGTCTGTGTTTCATTTTCTATTAATATATTTAGAATGTCTCCCAGGTGAACTCTGTCAAATGCCTTCGTCAAATCAATGAAGCAAATATACGCTGGCATGCCGTACTCTATAGCTTTTTCTTTTATTTGTTTTATTATAAATACTGCGTCTGTTATAGACCGCCCTTTTGTAAAACCTTGTTGTTCTTCAGCATTAGTGATTTGCTTTTCCAATTTGTCCTTGAGAATACCCGTGAAAAGTTTCATTGTTGTATTTCAGAGGGTTATTCCTCTATAGTTTTGTGGCTATTATGCCATTCCTCTGGTGTTTCTGTTTTGTTTAATATTTTGTTAAATGTTCTCTTTTGATTGATTTTATTCTGGCGTTTACTTCGTTTCTTATTTGGACATATTCTGCATGAGCTTCTTCCGATTGCGTGTTTTTATATGCTGCATTCTCACTGTGGCTTTTACTATAGCATGTTTTTCTATTTCGGTTTATGAAATTTTCACAATTTCCTCTACTGTTTAAATTTCTACCAAACTTTGTCTCCATTTCTATTTAATTCTGCTTCTATTTTTATTTCTGTTTTATTGGCTTTTGCTTTATCTACAGTTAATTGCAGTTTTCTATAAAATTCTATGATGTTTTTTCATTTACCTTTATATTAGTAGTTCGTAAATTTGTATTCCTTATAAGTTTTAGTCCTATTATAACTCGACTTGAACTCAAACAAGTATTTTCCTTTTAGTAAAGGTTTGGGTCAATGCCTCAAAGACAAACCGAAAGATTTGGATAGGTACAAGTATCCTGACCTTCCAGCCGGTGTTATGTACGATGCCAACTATCAGTGTAAGTTACAGTTTGGAAAAAAGGCGACACTATGCACCCCTCCAGATGAGATATGCTTACATCTATGGTGCTCCATTAATAACACTTGCACTACCCTTCTCAGACCAGCTGCCGAGGGGACGTATTGCGGAAAACATAAAGTAAGTTTAAGAGTTTTTAAAATATTATTATTAATATAAAATCCGTAAAATAGTTTCGAAACACATTTCAGATTTCTGCTTATAATCTGAGCCTTCTAAAAATTGCAAGGCAAACAGACGTTGATAAAAGATGTTAAAAGGGACATGGGGAATCTAAAATTTGCATTCCACGACATGTCTTTACAACTAAGCAGAAATCCTTAGCTAATTGTGTTTCTTGTACTCGTACAGAGCAGATCCGAATAAAATGAAAAAGACAGCAAATATTTGATTTCACGCAAACAGCGCCTATGTGTCTGTTGATACGTATTTCGACCTAATAGGTCTCATCAGAACAGTTATTCATAGGTGTTCTCAACATGAAAAATCAATATTTTCTGTCTTTTAAGAAGCAACACTAAAATGGCTTCAATACGGACGCAATAGCGACATCTAATAATATAATCCGTAAAATAGTTTCGAAATACAATTCAGATTTCTGCTTATAATCTGAGCCTTCTAAAAATTACAAGAGATTACAAGAGATCCGTTTGAAGAGGTCTACCCTCCGGATGCTGGTACTCACGTAAGACGTGAATACCTTAAAATAATAAACATCAATTAGTATTAACAACAATATGTACAATCTTTGGTAACCTCATTTACTTTAAAGGGTTTGCCCTAATATTTTGATAGCTTAGGCATGTTAACTGCTTTTTAACTTCTTCTTCTTCAGATGCAAATCCACTAATGGATGTTAGCGATCACATTTTCCATTAATTCTCTATTTCTTGCAATATGTATCAGAGATTGTATGTCGTTAATCCCTGTCCATTGCCTTATGTTTCGGAGCCAAGACATTTTCTTACGTCCCATTCCTGTCTTGCCTTCAATTTTACACTCGATTATAAATTGGAGGAACTGGTATTTTTCATTTCGCATGATGTGACCTAGATACGCCGTTTTCCTTTTCTTGATGGCTTCGAAAAGTTGGCGTTCTTGGTTTATTCTTTTAAGGAGATCTATATTTGTGATTTTCGCTGTCCATGGTATTTTTAGGATACGGCGATAAAGTCACATTTCGAAAGCTTCTAATCTGTTTTTATCCCTCGTTTTGAGTGTCCAGCCCTCTACGCCATATAGCAGCACTTAGTCTCAGTTGAAGATCGAACTCTAACAAGTCAGTACCTTCTTGAATTTTACGAAAGCTTGTCGAGCTTGCTCAATGCGACATTTTATTTCCCTGTCTGATGACCAGTCTTCAAAAAGCCACGATCCCAGGTATTTAAATTTATTAACCTGATGATGGAATTATTATTCCGAAAACGTTCGTGTTAATTTGATGTAGCCCTTTTAAGGGTTTTTTAAATATAACCACTTACAAAGATTTAACCACTTTTTTTTAAATATTAAGAGAAAAATAAACATTTTCTGATTTTCTCAAAACTTGAAAATATCACTTCTTAGTCCCTTTAAGAAATAATCAATTCAAATGTATTTACTTTTAATGTGCCATACTGCTATAAAATATTTTGTCTACTACCTCATGTAATATTTGCAGTGGTGCAAGGATCGCGAATGTGTCTTAATGTTGGAACCTCCTGCGCCCATCGACGGCGGTTGGGGAGACTGGAGCTCGTGGAGCGAATGTTCCAAATCCTGCGGCGCGGGAGTTTCTGTGATGGAGAGAGAGTGCAACCACCCGACGCCCGCCTATGGCGGGAAATACTGCGTCGGCGAGAGAAAGAGATATCGGATATGCAACACTCAAGCTTGTCCACCTGGGGAGCCTACATTTAGAGCGAAGCAATGTTCCGAACACGACGATGAGGTTTACGAAGGAAGGAAATATAAGTGGCAGCCATATTTCGATGAAGGTAAGTACGTTTGAGTGTATATCACGAGAATAATTAAAAATTAATTCTTATAGTCTTTTACATCAGTGGTTTTCTTATCAGTTAATTTTTTATTGGGCAGGATGTAGCCTTATTTTATTCTGGAAGTTGTTGTAGAGCTACATAGATATGCTAAGGAAAGATGTTAATATACAAGAACTAGAAAAGGAAGAATATAACATAGAGAAAGCACATGGTTTTTGTGGTGAGATTGTTTGTGTATGAGATGTTTACTTCTTTCCTTCTGCTTAATTGCATAATTTAGACATTTTTATATCTGCTTTGGAATGAAATCGCTACATTTTACAAGGTTTGCACCACAAATATTCTTTATTTCTATTAGTAATTGCATTTTATAAATGCAATGTCTACCATTATATTTGTTAAATACCATAATGGTATGTCTTTTTGTCCAAATTTGCAGACAAAGTTCATAAATAATTAGTTTGCACTCCACAGTTTTAAGCGATCTAGGAATCATAATGCTTGTTTGAAATCTATAAAGATCTAGTGTACTTCTTTATTATATTCCCAAGACTTTTCTAGCATTTGTCTGATAGTAAGTTCATAAATAATTAGTTTACTTTCAACAACAATATTCGAAAAATAAACAGGTTCACCTGTTTTTCTGTTTATCGACACGAATATGAATAAATATAGTCCACATAAAAGAATAAGAATAGAAATATGAACCAGTTTTGTTCTGAAATAATACTCGAAATTACCTACAACTGGTACATGATCAGAATTTATGTCTGCCCCCGAGTATGTTTGGCAGATGTACAACTATTCCAAATACCCCTTATTTACTAGCATGTGGTCTAATTTCTTACAAACCTTCCCACAGAATCCTGTGGAGATTTCCAGTTGTACAGTTTCCTTGGGTGTAGCTTAAACCAGGTGTTCATTATTACTAATTGATTTGCTTTCGCAAAAATCTTCAACGTATCTCCCCGATCGTTCCGGTTCCCCTCGACCAAATGGGTCCAACTACAGATGATTTTGTTGCTTTAACTTTGGCGTTGAAGTCACCCATGACAATTGTTAGGTCTTGCTTTTTTAACCCTTTTCACGACTTGATTAATTCTATTCCTCGTGAATTCTATGTTATAGTTCTTCTATCTCTTCTTTGTGTAGTGCATACACTTGAATTATACTGGAAGTAGATTGGTCTTGCTTTTAGTTGTATGAGAACACTTACGCTGAGATTGGGATAAGTTGTCAACAGATTTTGCCACGTTCTTTTATCAATATAATGCCGACACCCAATTCATGTTTGCGTTACCTTTTCCAGAATAGTAAACGCGGTGTTTCCTCGATATTTGCGGTCCTGAACCTGGCCAACGCATTTCGTTTATTCCCAGAATATTTGACGGTTTTACAGAATTAAAAGTGAGAAAAAACGCAATATAACAAATCAATCTGGGTATATTGTTTAAGCACCATTCTTTGTTTTATTAAACTATGTTTATTTAATTTTTGTACATGTAGATATTTCTTTTCTTTTTTTTTGGAATCCGATGATTAAATGGAACTACATATTCATCATCATGACTAAAAAATAGGCCCGGAATTACAGTGTTGCCTAGGCCCGCTATAGTCTGGGTCCACCACTGTAGACGCCATAAACGAAAACGATTTAATAATACGTTTTTTGTCCTCTGGGCTATGCAAATGTGTAAATATAAAATCTGTTAGCAAAAGCTACTATCGCTTTCGAATCGCTATCAATAAATCAGTTCTGCTATCCCAGCTTCAATCAGATACAAAATTCAAACTCGGAAAATGCAACAAATGTCTCTAAAAACTTCACCACTGGAGTGGTTACCGTACAGAGGTGCCACCTGCTTTAGGCGCTATGAACGAAAACGGTTTATTAATATCGTTTTCTGTCCTCTGAGCTGTCCGATCTGGTTTTTCAAGACATTATATTTGTAAATGTAATGAACTATTAACTTGTTCCTATCTGTCAAATTAAAAAAAAAAAGTTGAATAACTCAAAAAATATGAAGTTCTGACCTATGGTACCTGTCACAAAATTTTACGTATTAGTATTAAGTGTTCGAAATTTTTATGGAAAGAGGTACGAAGGTTTACATTCTGCTTTAAAATATACCCGCGATTTTAATTTGCGGTCTAAATGGGATATGGTTATTATTCCACCAAACCCAAATATCGTACTGATGAGAAAGACATTAAGGATGATAATGTCATAGAAAGAAATTTGACACTACCGAAAGATCTTGTAGGAGAAATTAAAGTGAATTGCTCTTCAGATAAAGACGAAGACTTATAGATGTAACTTTAGCACTGCGGTTAAAAAGAGTACGAGAACAATAGAGTTTAAGGTCCCCAATGGACAAAAACTTGTACAAATCATAGTATGGTAGGAACATCACGGTGGAATGAGCGGTTTAAAATTGTTAAACATGAATTACAAGACTTGAATGAAGTTGAGATATTGAAGAATTATTCACTGACGACATATTTGATAACATAGTTACATAAACTAATTCTTATTTTTCTCAATGCAACAACCATAGTTTTCTTTGTGTCCAAGGCAGACCTACAAACATTTTTCGGTGTATTATTACTAACAGGAGATCACCAAACACCCCAGTGAAAGAATGTACTGAAGTCTTTCCGAAGATTTAAATGTACCGTTTGTTTGTGCATCTATGTCTAGAAACAGATTTCTAGATATAAAGCGTTACATTTACCTTGCCGAAAATGCAGCATTACCAGCACATAATAAAACAGCAAAAGTTCGACCTCTGCTAACACAGCTGAATCAAAATTACAGACAGTAGGTATATTTTTCATGAACATTTTTATGTGTTGATGAATCTATGGTTAATTTTTTGGCAGACATACCATTAAACAATTTATAAAAAGTAAACCTATTAGAATTCGGCTACAAAAATTGGTTGTTATGTATTGCCAATGGTTATTGTTATGCCGTAGATACGTATTGTGGAGCCAAAAAATAATGATAAGAAAAATAGCCTACCATTAGGATCACAAGTAGTTCTAGATAGACCACATCGCGTGCCCATCTGACCATACATTATTTTTTAATAACTTTTTTTACAAGTTACGATCTGTTGGAAAATAAAAAAAATAGAAATTAGAGTCCGAAACAACAAAAAATGTCCCCTATCAAATGCCAAAGAATAAAAAACCAAGACAGAGATTATTTTGAACATCAATAGGATAGTGCTCAAGGTATATTATTTGTTAGATGGAAAGATAATATTATAGTGACTATGGCTACAAATTACGACTTTATGGAACCTGTAGCACAAGTAAAACGATGGTCAGCCAACTGCTTGATGGCTCCACAAGGCCAAAGTGGATGTTCCTCAACCTGCTTTATATAAAAATTATAATAAGTCCATGGGTGGTTCGACTTACATAATCAGCAACTAAACAGTTACTGCATCGGAATAAGAGGGAAAAAATGGTGGTGGGTGCTTTTTACTAATCTTATAAACCTGACTGTTGTAAATAGTTAGAGACTGTTAACAATCTGGCTAAAGTTCAACAAACTAGTCTTCTTGATTTTCAAAAAGTATTTGTACGACATTATTAAGGTTTAATACGACAGTATTAAAGGAGGTCACTTTCCAAAAAAACTTATTAAACAATTAAGGTTTGCTCAGTGTTATTAAAGAGCCACATGGAATTGTATAAAAGGGTTATATAAACCTTTGTATTGAGAGAGACTGTTTTAAAACTTTTTAATTCGATTAATTGTTTGTTAAGTACAATTATCTATTAAGTCGCTGTAATGCTACAGTGTACTTATTTTGGGTATATATCAATATCTGAGTAATTCTGTTCTTTTTTTCAAATATATTACATTTAAAAGTTTTGTTACATATCATATTACTAATAAATATCTAATGCAAAATATATTAATTCTTAAAGTAAGATACCGTGGGCGCTTAATGGGTTAAATACAATTTTGTCTATTAAGAAAATTGTTGTATTAACTTTTCTAATTAATAGTGCAATTCTTGTTTCTTTATGTGCAGGTGAACCTTGCCAGTTATATTGCAGCGACGCCAATGAGACAGTGATCGTTCCCTGGGGAGAGTACGCCAAAGATGGAACACCCTGCAGCGTAGTTTCTAGAGACGTTTGCATTTCAGGTATATGCAAGGTAAATCTCTTTACTCTACGTTCTTTGTATCATTAGGCAATTAGCTATATTGGTGAATCTTCCGTACTTCGGCAATAATTACATAATTGCGTTTGGCGTTGACTTGGAAACTATTATCGTGTTGAAACTTAAGTTTGTTACTAAGCTATACAATCTACAAATTTTAAGGAAAATATAAACTTTTTTTATAATTTATTATCTTGCAGCAAATATAAAAATAGATTAATTAAAATGAAATTTTAAAATTCACAAAATAAACACATTTGGATGTAAAAAAATTAGGATACATTTTTGGTGTATTGGAGGGTAGTACACAATGAGACAAAAAACACATTTTTATTTCTGAAATTGACATTTTTGAATTTGTCTACAAACTTAACTAGTTAACCAGGCATCAATATGATTATTTCCTCAATATAATCTGAAATAAATATTCCTTCATGAGTGAAGAAACAAAATCTATCATTATTTTTCTAACCGTCTACATCTGTGTCATTGTGTACCATTGGTGGTACACAAGGAGTTAAGTAGTGGTACACAATGAGTCAAGTGGTATTATTTCAATAATTTGTTAAAGTAAATACATAAAGTGTAGTTTTTTTTATTGAAAATATCAATTTTTACAGGTACAATAGAATAAATGTAATGAAAGAAAATTTTAAATGATCTCAATACTGTCAAACTTTACATCAAATTTGAAATAAGATGCAATTAAGATGCAAATAAGATGTTTTTTAAATCTACATTTTTTGGTTTTACTAGAATTGATACAACAAAATCTGACCTTGCTACTGCAGCAATGTCTTTAACTTAAGGAAAAATAAAGCGCCTTGAAGCTTACCAGTTTTCATGGCACTTTAAATTCATTATCGTCTAGTGTCTTGAGAACTTTAGCAACATAAAACATATTGTTTTCAAATTTCACAAATAAAAAACTATCAAGAGAAATTTATGTGTTAGCATCAATGCCATAATCGTCGTCTAACTGTAAATTTTCACATTCATCGCCAGAAGAATTATCGTAATTGATAAGTTCTTCACTCTCCTCGGATGAAGTGCTATCACTTCGTTTATTTTTTTTTTTCTGCTTTGGTGCTGTGCGGCTTACCTCATTTAAATTGACCTTAATTCGTTTGCTATTCTGCAAAGTCATTTTTTTTTTTTTGGTTGTTGCTTGCAGTTTTAACTGATCCAAGTCAGGTGTGTTCGTTAAAATTGCACTCTTTTTTAGTTTTCCTTGCCTTCACACCTTTTCTCTTTTCTGCTTTTGGAAGTCCTTTAAACTCATGAAGGAAGATGAAAGAACTTGAATTCGCAGATGATACTATTGACTTAGAATTGTTCTGAAGCTATTTTCTTGTGGCATTTTAAATTAATTACTATTTAAATGGAAATAAGTCACAATTAAAAGTTAGAGTAGGTTTATTGACGTTTCAATTTCCACTTCGCAAAACAGCAGACACGCTTGGAAATTAATTTGGAATCTTGACAAGATTCCCGATTCCTCGGCACCCAATCTGACAAAAGTCACACCCAATCAGATAACCCATCGTCTCCTGAAGAATGATAAGACGACATCAAGAAAAAACAAAGTGAGAGTACAACGAAATTACGACAAAGAAGAGGATGTTCAAGGTCCCTTCTTTCCAGATGTTTTTTCATACCGTATTTTTTGTGACATGATGGTATCGAGTATGACGGTAACACTGCTCCCCTATGTTGTCTCCCTTAAAGTCCAGGCTATCAGAGTAGAGCCATAACCCGTTTTGATATGCAGGCCGGGTGATGCCGGGTGGGTGGCTACGTTGGATATCGGATTTGCATGGTCTGAAGAAACTGAGGCTCAATATACAGCGCTGCGATGTATTTAGGGGTTCAGTTACCCTTACAATTGATCACAACGTCTGCCGCAATTATCCGTTAACCCTGCTGCACGTTAAGGTCAGGTATCTTAAGGAATACTGTCCTGACATCTTATTCGCGGCTCTGTCTCGCATATCCACCCTTTCTTTTCAGCTGCTTTTCGAAGATACGTAACGAGCTGATCATGTCTTTTAATTCGGTGCCAATGCACTGCGGGGCACTTTTAAAAAACGTGACTTAGGCTCTTGTTATGTTCACATCATACACTCATATGGTGGTTTTGAAGGGATACCTCTATTTGGAAGTAGATTTCCTCTCATCTCTATTGCTTCAATATAATCTCTCCCCAACCAGTAGAGCGGTGGATTGCTTATCCAGGCAGAGCTCTGGGAGTGTGAAGAACCCTGACGAAGTCCGTTTTCACTATGGCCATCCTTAAGTTTTTGACTTAAGTATGGCCATAGTGGAGAAAGTCCTAAAATGAACGATGAATGCGTTCATTTTAGGACTTTCTCCCAGAGACGTGACATATATGGTAGAGAGAGAGTTAATGTTGGCGTCGGCATACGTTCGATTGAGGGACAGAATCTTCCAAACGGCTAGACTTATGGACCTAAAAATGTCCTTCAGCGTTTTCATATTGACGGTTGAACTCTGTAGCTTGTCAACGTATCTCAGCAGCAGGCAACTGTTAATCGTAATAGTTGCACTATTACCAGCGTTGATCGACATTCCTCTCTTCTCGAAGAATTCGACGGCTATCCGGAGCTGTTTGGTACCATCTTTGACTGATTCGGATAGCGGAATTTAATAAGCAGCATAACCCATAATGAGATCTTCCTGTCATCTGCAATCGAAAGGCTAACCCAGTCTTCCTGGAGCTTGCATATCAGCTCATCGACCACCATATTGGTAAGCTGATAAGGGGTCTCCCTGTTTAATGCCTCTACAAATTCCGATGTTCGTCGTCGACCTGCTGCCGGCGGTGACTCTCGTATGATAGTTCTTGTACGAGTCCATCACATACTGTTTAAATGTCGCGCCTAATCCGAAGCGATTCATGGCCCATTCAATTGATCGCCGAAAGACTGTGTCGAAAGCTTTTTGTAGATCGATGGATATTATATTGTATGGACGAAGGTCTCTTCTCTTCTCCTTGATAACCGTCTAAAGCGTCAGGTTATTCAATAGGACGCCATCTACCTACCTAAAACCTCTCTGGTTCCCATATGGTAGTCCAGCACCGCAAACCTCTTCCCTAGCACACTATGCAGCACCCTTATCTACCTACCTCCAGCGGATTGTCACCCTTTGGTATCAAAGTGGTTCTGCAATCCTTCAATACCTAGGAGTATCACTATACTGCAGCATGATATTATAAACTAAAACCAATTTTTGAACAGGTTCTTTACGCAACTTTTGGATCTTAATAAAATCAGGACCAGCTACTTGAGACTTTATAGTTTGTAAGGCCCCGAAGATTTCCACTTTTGTTACAGCATTGCTGATCAGTAGCGGCTCCTTCTGATCTGAAATCGGTCCGTCGTCTGTTAGCGATCTTAGATTGTCAGATATGTCCTTTCCACCGTCAGCATCGTTGAGCCCATTCATAGTGCCTATTCTCGATAGGGAGTAAGGAAACATATTGAACCCTACTATAAACGTAGGCTACATTTGAGTTTTATCGAAGAAGTCAGATGTACAGTTTTTGAATAAGACTCAGATCTAGTGTCGATTTCTGGTAAGTTCAATATGTTTCCTCTAATTCAAATTTTTAAATATATAGAAAAGACAGCTAAAATTCGATTTTACATATAGTACTTTTTCATTTCGCTTATACGTATTTTTTCCTTTTTATTACTCATCAGGGCGCCTCAGTAGGAAGCCCTAAATGTGAAATCCAATTTTTTTGTCAAAGAAAGTAATAATGAAATAACTTCCTAAAGACGCATACAGCGGCATCTAAAAATAAAGCAAAAAGTAAAAAATCAGAAGATTTCTACCACTTGTTCAAAACCAAAATTCAGATTTTCACCCAAATCTGAATCCCAACCAGACCAACCCAAATCAGACCATGAATAGTTTTACTTTTTGCTTTTAATTTTTAACATCGACTTTATATATCGTTTAAATTTGAATTGACATTTAAAAAACATAATCAAAAAGGTCGCTAGTTTTAACTGCTGCTAACTATGTTTTGGCTGATGATGCTCTAATAAGAAACGTTCTGATGGAAATGTAACCCTTTTTATTAAATTTTAAATATATGCCATTTTCTATTAAAAATGTTGTACTTCACTGTAAGTTTAACTCATTAGAACGTTCTTGCGTTTTGGAAATTGAAACTTCCACTGGCTATTTGCTTTTCAATGGGCATATTATTATTATAATTACTTTAACCTTTAATAATGAAATCCATTTGCTAATACGAATAAGGAGTTTATATAATGCAACTAATTTTAAATAAGAAAAAACTGTGAAATGAACTATAGACTTTTTGTACAACAATTTATTTGAAGTAAGAATTTTGCATATCTCTTTGTAAGTTATACCAGCCATTTTCCTAGAAATAAATTCAAAATGACCCCGCATCCTCTAAAGAATTCATGCATGATGGCATAAAACGACGAGTCTCCATATTTCCATAATTTTCATTTTATCCATATTCCAGAAAGTCGGCTGTGACTGGGTGGTGGACTCCCAAACAGAGGAGGACGATTGCGGCATTTGTCAAGGAGATGGGAGTAAGTGCGACAAAAAGCAAGGGGTCTACGATAAACAAAATTGGTCTCCCGGCTACAGGGAAATTGTGGTCATACCGAAGGGGGCCAGAAATATACGAATCGAGGAGAAAGACCATTCAGCCAACTACATCAGCATTGGAAGTGCCCTCGAAAGGAAGTTTTATCTCAACGGGGAGCGGTGAGTATTTTTTTAGAGACCTAAGCCAATTTTCCGATATGAAATATTTACGAAAAGTGTAATAATCTTAGTAAACGTATTGGAGCTATCGGGAAAATGAAGTTGGTCTTTTAAAATTGTTTATACTCTAGTACAGGATTGGTTTGAGAAAGTCGTGAGAAGTTACACAATAAGTTTTTACTTGTATACAATTAAAACACTATTGGGAATTTGTCTTTATTGTACATACAGCCAGCAATTGACGGATTTGTAATAAACCGTTTTTATTTGTGAAAAAACAACTCAAATTTTGTTATCTTCTTCTTCTTAAGGTTCCATCTTCTAACGAAGGTTGGATATCAACATGGCAATTCTTATTTTACTTACAGCAGCTCTAAATAGTTGGCTAGAGCTCAGACTAAACCATTCCCTTAGATTTCGTAGCCAGGAGGTTCGTCTTCTTCCTACATCTCTTTTACCTTTTATTTTGCCCTCTATAATCAAACGTAGTAGCCCATAACGAGGACCTCTTAATATATGACCGAAATATTCAAGTTTCCGCCTCTTAATTGTCTGTACAATTTCTTCCCTCTTATTAACCCTATCAAGGACTTCAATATTGGTAATTTTGTCTACCCATGCTATTCGTAGCATCCTTCGATAACACCAACGCTCAAAAGCTTCCAATTTCTTAATCTCCAGTTGTTTCAATGTCCATGTCTCAGATCCGTAGAGCAAGGTTGTAAAAATGTAGCAGCGCAATAACCTTATCCTTAGATCCATTCTTAGGTCTCTACTACACAATAGATGTTTCATTTTTACAAATTTTGCCCTTGCTATTTCTATACGGCTTTTAATCTCTTGCGTTTGTTCTGCGTTTTGACTAACCAATGTTCCTAGATATTTGTATTTATCTACCCTTTCTATCTGGATATTATTAATATGGAGTGTCTCGTTGTCTTTTGGATGTTTTGTAATGACCATGAATTTTGTTTTCTTTAAGTTCATTTTAATACCATATATGGTACACTTTTCATTCAGCCGTTCCAGTATGTTTGTTAGCAGCAGTGGTGACAATACACAGCCCTGTCTCACACCCCGAAGAATTTCTATTTCTTCCGACATTTGATTTTCAATTCTTATTTTGACTTTCTGGTTCCAGTAGAGGTTCGAGATTACTCTGATGTCGCGGCTATCGATGTTTTTCATTTTTAAAATATTAATTAGTTTATTGTGCTGTACCTTGTCAAATGCTTTTTCAAAATCAATAAAACATGTATACATGTCTTGGTTCATATCCAGATTTCTTTGCATGAGCACATTTATACCGAACAATGCTTCCCTGGTTCCCGTGCCGTTTCTAAAGCCTAACTGACTATCACTAATTTCATCATCCAGCTTTCTGTAAATTCTGTTGTGGACTATTCGTAGAAATACTTTCAAAACATGGCTCATTAATGCAATTGTACGGTGTTCTGAGCATTCTTTTGCATTTTGCTTTTTGGGAATAATTACGAATGTGGATACTAACCACTCCTTTGGTAAAATACCTGTTTGATAAATATGATCATAAAGTTCTACTAGAATGTCTATCATTTCATCATCGATCAGTTTAAGAAACTCAATCGGGATTTCATCCGGACCTGTGGCCTTTTTCCCTTTTGTCTGTTTTAATGCGTATTGAACTTCCTGTTTTAAAATTTTTGGTCCCGATTCACCAGAGTCCTCATCTATGATTTTGTTATCTTGCTGTACGCTAAATTATTTAAATTTTCCCTAATCAGGGACAGTTTGTTTTCTGAAGTTTTAATATTATACATAGTCCTAAGAACAGTAGCAACGGGAAATTTTGGGTAGCATGATCAAACTAAACTAAAATACAGGGTGTTTAAATAAATATTCCATACAAATAATAAATATCGCAACAGTCCTACCCGGTACAGTTCTATGCGGAAGAGAAACTGTACCACTTAATTTTCATCATCTTTTTGATCTCCATTTACTGCTATTACTTCTAATTTTATAACAGAACGTTCATATATTCCACTCTTTGTTTAAACTGTTGCTCGTCGTACTTGCCATCAGCTTTGGCCAATTGCCCAATATCGCCCTGTTTAATTGGTACAACTTGTTTATGCCATTTTGCCCTAAGAAATAGTTCAGGTATATATTCAGAAATAAAGCGTTGCCAACGTTTATTTGCAAATTGCTTTTTATATAAATATTTAAATTTAAATGCTTTAACATCTTCGTTTGAAAATCCAATTGGTTTATCTTCGTTTAAAGATCCAGTTAAAAAATGATTTGGAATTAGATATTCAGATTCTTCAGATTCTATTGGAAGATAAGTAAGTAGTCTTGAGGTTACTAGTTTTCTGTAGCTATAAGATAACTATAAACTAATTGATCAGTAGGGTTTCTAGTTGGTGATGAATCATATAACGAAATTTTAACCTCTTTCAATAGGCGCTCCCACCCGGATGTGAGGAAAGGGGTGCGTTGAAGTTGAATTTTAGCTCTGGGCTAATCAGTGAATTGGCTATTAATTGACTGTCAACCTTTTGCAGCTCTTCTCCCAATACTATTTCAGCTGCAATGAAATTTGTACCTCGATCACAATAAATATACCTTGGTTGTTCTCTTTTGTTAATAAAATTTGTCAAGCATAGTATTAAACTGTTAACATCTGGTTTGTAAGCTACTTCGAAATGGACTGCTCTAGTCGTGGGACAAGTAAATAATGCTCCCCATCTTATCTCCGTTCGTTACATTTATTGGACTAAAATAATCCATACCAGTGTGTGTAAACGGAGTACTAAATGTTGCAAGTCTACAAGGCGGCAGAAGTGACATTTCCAGTAGTTTTGGCTTAGCAAATTTGACCTTGCAATTTTGACAATTGGTCCTAATCCTATTAACTAGTTGTCTCAGTTTTGGTATATAAAATTTTTGTCTTATCTCATTTATTACAATTTTATGATTTTTATGGTTATATCTTTTGTGGTCGTCTTCAATAGCTAGTAAAGTTAAACGACTTTCTCTCGGTAAAATTTTATAAAAATAAAAATTAACAACGTATCAAATATAAATCTTTATTTTGTCAAAAAACATGATCTAAAAACTTATAAACATACAAACAAGTAGACATATAACCTAAATGCAAAAAGATAAAAAATAAAAGAAATTTTTGAAAGCTATCAGAAGTGCCTAGCAATGGCTTGGAAAGTTTCCTTATAATGTCTGTCTTGTTAACAAAAAGCTCTTCGTCAGTTTCTGAAAAACGCATTGTATTGGGTGCCCTTTTATAATAAATACCACTGTAACCCTCATCTACCATTACAGTAATTCGCATCATAACGTACATTCGAAATAAGTCCTTGGTTTTGCCGTATACTTTACTATAGCAATCTCCCCTGGACTTAATTCGGATAATTCATTTTCAGCATCACTTTTAGAAAAACTTAAATTACTGCTACTATCATGAAGTAATATTTGTGCATCCGAGTCAGAAGAATATTCATATTCTTTTTTATTTAGTATATTGTATTTTTCTTCAAATATTTTTCTTACTGTATTTTTTTTCTTAATGCATTCCTTCCTTTTTTTCTCGTTCATTTTGTATTTCTTCTTCAGCTCTGAGATTTCCATTTGCTCTTTATGTGGAGTAGATGTCAAAAGTGTAGATTTCAATCCTTTTCTTGTTTATTTTCTCTTTTTGGTTAGTTTTGGCAACGGAATGATATCTGACGGTAACGTAGTATACATTTCATTTTTTGAGCTTCCGGGTTTTGATTCCAGGTTGTATGAAATGGCATTTCACCACTTAGTTCTTCTGCTTTGTCATTTTCCTGACTTTTGTCTTCGTCAAATACAATCCTTAATCGTGTATCTGTATTATTTCGGTCAAGATCATCTACTTCTTGCTCTTGTTCAGTTACTGAAGAAGGTAAAAAATCTTCTTCAGTACGAATATTTTCATCTAAAGAGAAAATACCTGTCATTTTAAATCCATTAACAGCTTTTTCTATAGTAATAGTTTTCTTATAGGCCTGCTTGAATAATCCAGCCACGTGATATTCTGTGACTATTTGCTCGGGATTAGATGTCGTCCAATTATCACACAAATCATAATATTCAGCTTTTAATGGCCTAAAAAAGTTTCTGTCCAGTGGTTGAGTTCGATGGCTGCTATGAAGTGGGAGGCTAAGCAAATAGATGCTATTATTGTTTGCGTAATTGATGGCCTCGAGAGTGGTATGGGATATGTGGTTATTCAAAATTAATAGCACTGGGCTTTCAGCAGTAGGATTTGTATATTTGCGATAGTGCTCCAAAAACTGAAGAAACTTAACTGAATTCATGTATCCAGAATCAGTTACAGCAAAAACAGAACCAGTTGGAGCGTCCTTTATTAAAAGAGGATTAAGTTTTTTGCGTCCGAAAATAAAGAATGGTGAAATATAGTGTCCTGTTGCACTCATAGAACATGCAGCTGTCAGCACAGTTCTTCCTTGCTTTGTAACTACATTTTATGCTACTTCTTCTTTCTCAAGTGGGAGCAACATGTTTAGGTAATTTATTTGGTACTGTTTGTAAACCACTATCATCCATGTTGTAGATTTTATTCGCTGGAAATTTATATTTCTCCAAGACAGATTTTAAATTTTGAAAATACTGTGTCAATTGATGTTTGTTAAACCCCATGGTCCTGGGATTTTGAAAATACCATTCACCCAACGAGTTACAAATACAGAAGTGTTAAGAAGGTTACAAAAGGATTGCGAGGTCATAAAACACATCAAAACAAGAAAGCTGAAATATTTAGGCCACATTACCAGAGGTGCGAAATATGAGATATTAAGACTCATAATGTAAGATAAAATCAAGGGTAAAAGATCCATAAAAAAACGAAGAATTTTCTGGTTGAGAAACCTAAGAGATTAGTATAGTTACAGTTCAGTAAATCTTTTCAGAGCACCGGCTAATAAGGTACGGATAGCTGTGAGGATAGCCAACTTCCGATAGGAGAAGGAACAAGAAGAAGAATGAATTAAAATTGGGTTTGAACGTTTTGGAGCATAACAAAATACATTATAATTAAACAAACTTTTAATCCATTTAGTAGTTTAAAACAGACAAATCACAATCTTGTATTTTAGAAACTTTTGAATGGAAATACGCTCTTTAATTATAGCAAGTTCAACAAAATTACTCACATCTTATACTTCGCAAAGCAATAAAAGTTGAATATAATTTTAAATCGACATACTGTTCATTTATTAAATTTCAATATTCTTGATCCACGTTGATTTTTTTTTTCCAGGCATATTTTCCTCCCTGGGGAATACACCGTTGCTGGAACACAAGCTTTGTATGGGAGGGACAATCATTTAGAAAAAATTCGAATCCCTGGCCCGATAATGGAGCCCATCGTTGTTTATGTAAGTATTTTTAGGAAAAAAAAAGAAATGGAAGTATTGATCTTTAGAGTGTATTAGACAGGGAGGTATCACTTTTATTCATATGAAGGGTGCAGGGAATAAAGGCGCAATGTTAACTTTTACGAAAATCGAGATTTTAATGTTATATGTTAGGAGTACTTTAAAGGCTCAAATCAATAGCTTCCCTCAGGGAGTATAAGCGTTGGGTCAATAGAAAATCAAAAAGTAAATACATGGTAGTCTGGGGATAAAGGCGCATAGTCTCATCAACTAGCCTCTAACGTCCACTGCTGAACATAGGCCTCTCGCATGCTTTTCCACTTAGTCCGATTTTGCTCCATCTGAATCCAATTTGTAGTCACTCTTTTTATATCATCTGTCCATCTCGTTGGGGGTCGACCTCTATTTCTGTAAGCTTGTTTTTGGGGTCTCCATTCCAAAATTCTTTTTGTCCACCGGTCATCAACTGATCTTGCTACATGACCTGCCCAGTTCCACTTTAGTGTTGTTATCCTTTCAATAACGTCTGCTACTCCGGATCTTTTGCGTATAGTAGCATTGGGTATTGTATCACGTAGGGAAATCCCTAACATTCCATTGCTCTTTCCGCAACTTGCAGTTTACTCACTGTTGTTCTTCTGAGCGTTAGGGTTTCTGCGCCGTAGGTCATCGCTGGCAAAATACATTGATTAAATACTTTTCTTTTCAGCTCGATTGTTTGGTTGACTTATTCTGATCTCATGGCCTAAGTATGTATAGGAGTCAACTGCCTCAATATCTTTGTCTTCTACTGAGATGTTTTTGTTGTGAACTAAATTTGTCATAAATTGTGTTTTTGAAAAATTTATTTTAAGACCAACTCTTTTTGTGGCAGTATGGAGTTCTTGGAGCATTATCTGTGCCTGATCAAAGCTGTCTGCAATAAGAACGAGACGCATAGTCTTTTTACGCATAGTCTAGTTCATTAGAAAATGATTTATCCGAGATCTTCACAGTCGAAAAAGGAGTTAGACAGGGTTGCATATTGTCACCAGTATTATTTAACATATGCTCTGAAAATATCTTTAGAGAGGTCTTGGATAGATGGGATTGCTGTAAATGGCTACCTTATCAACAATATTAGAAATGCAGACGATACAGTGTTGCTGGCAATATGTTTCTACGTTGTAGAGGTATTACTATTATATGCACCTGTATTCCTTATAGCTCCATTTCTTTTCCTTGCCTCCGCTGTTCTACAATAAGTCTCGGCTCAAATTAAAACTCTTCTCTCTTTTTGACTGCTTCTTCTTCTTCTCGTAACACTACAACCCGGGGTGGCTCTTGGTTGACTGCACAACTTGCCTCCATCTTGAACGGTCGTCCATAATAGTTGGGTCAGTGGGTAGCCAGTTGTCTCCCATATTGTCTCTCCGTCGCATTCATGGACGTCCTAAGATTCTTCCTTCCATATAAACGTAGTAAGGCGGTTATTAGGGAGTCTATGGACATGACAGCTCATCTTAGACATTGGAATTTAATCTCTTGGACAATGTCGCTAGCTCTATACATCTGCTTGACCTCAGCAGTTGTTCTCATTTGGTATTAGTTGCTATTAATGTCGTGATAAGGCCCAAAGATTCTTCTGAGGCTTTTCCTCTCAAAAATTCTTCTTTAGTTTCTTTGGTCAGGGTCAACGTCTCACACTCATATATGAGCACCTGTCTAATCACTCACGGAAAATATATATTTTGGGGTCCTCTATCGGTAGGTCCACCCCAAAATATATATTTTTTCCATGTTCTTCCTCTTGATGTATGTTTAGTAGACTTGAAATATTCTTGCCATGTTTGTGGCTATGTGAAGCATAGAGCTTCACTGAAAACGCGCCATCGGGTTCTATTTTGCTCTAAGGCTTTCACATCATTCTAAGACTTTCCTTGGCCTCTTATCTCGTCCATGATGGATCTTCTTCAAGTTTGTACTGGGCGACCTCTTTTTCTTTTCCTTGGGGATTCCACTCTAGGGCAGCCTTTGCGACACTGGAACTATTTCATTTATTATTAATTCTTCATTTTTTTTGAGTACAGGCACGTATCTAGGTCTGAAGCCTTTCTTTTCGTTTGACACTGATTTGTAAAATGCTCGACTATTTGACTGTTTCCTATTCCTTTCCATTTCTTCATATTTCTGTTTTTCGTACTTGCTTTTTTCTCTCTAATTAATTTTCTTGTTTCTCGGCGTAAAGTTGCATAGTTTTCTTTACTTTTTGCTGTTACTTGTTGAAGCGTAATATTTCGCTTTATCTGTCTGTCGTGTAGTTTTTCTTGACATTGTCTATCAAACCATTTCCTTATCTCTCTTTGACGTATCGTAAAAATATCTCTTACATTGTCTGGTCTCTAATGTCACTTACTATTTCTTCATCGTCACCTTGATTACTGTTAAAGAACTTATTTCTTATCTTATTGATAGATATTATTAATATATATCATATGTTTTCGAAGGGGCTTGCAATACTCCTCAAACGCCTGTATTACATTATCATACCTTTCCTCTGGTCAAGAACAAACTTTGACATTCTGAAAATGTCTTGAGCATCTTTTCCAGCTAAATTTAGGAAAATTGCAATTTTGGTTTCATCATATTTGTTACACAGTCCAGTTGCCATTAGATATAAAGGGAAAACCATTAATAAATTCATAATTTTGATTGGTTTACTGATTAAATACGATGCTTTTTGGTGCTATGGTAGACTTCACTTGATAGGTTTGTTACAACTGGATTCCTATCTAGGGTTCTTATAGACCTGACATCATGTATTATGTGTACAGTAAACATGTACATAAGACATACGCATAAGTTTTTATATTTTATTTGTGCTCTTTGATAAAGGTGTAACTTTTTATAAGCTAGTCAATGGGACTTTTATTGAACAAAATGTTAGATCTACAAAAGCAAAAGGAAAAGAGCAAAGTTATTAGAATTTCAACATGAAAATCACACAAACAAACATACATTTATAAAATATAGAAAGTTTTTTGCAACAAATTGTATTATAATTTCCACTTAGAGTAAAAAAGAAATTTTCTATTGCATTTTATTCCAGATCTACTACAGAGGAAATACTTTTAATCCAGGAGTCAAATACAAATACTCGATCTGGAAACAAGCGAAACCCATTGAAGTAAAATACTTGTGGATTCTCGGCGAGTGGTCCCAGTGCTCTGTCACTTGCGGTGGTGGTACTCAACAGCGAGAACCTCTTTGCCAAGAATTAGTGCTAGAAAGAATGTCATCTGAAATAGAACGGCCAAATGTTGTCGACGAATATTACTGTGAACCGCAAGATAAGCCCGATATGCAGATGAGGGCTTGCAACGAGGATAACTGTCCATCTAGATGGTGGTTCGGGCCCTGGCAAGCCTGTAGTGCATCATGTATGGGGAAGGTAAGTACAAGAGTTCTTAGGCTGATAGTAAATAAGTATCTTCCACCAAATTGTGTCCAGTTTATACTTTTAATAATATTCAGAGTTTCTTATTGCCTCTATACCTAATGAGATCTGGTCTTAATCATGTGAAATAAAACTAAATGAATGGCTAGATGGATAGATGTACTAGGCATTGTTTGTTAATGCAATTATGCTTATAGGTATATACGCCGTAATTAATTAAATAAAATATTTCAGTCGTGTAAGAAAATAGAGAAGAAAAGTTTCTAAAAGACGCTCAGCACATTTATGTGTAGACTAAATAATAAATTTACTGGATATGTATAATGTTTGCAAATATTTTGCCATAAAGCAATCATTTTGCATTCTTAGTTCAAATCACAGTTGATACAGTAAGGCCTAAACTTAAGTATTCCATGGAAAAAATAATTAGCGAATTATAAATAAAGCTAACCCAAACGAGAACTTTTAAAATTTTCTTATATTAAGTTAAGTTTAATTCTTGCCCCCTTATTTTTCACCGCTGAAAAATAGCGCTCTCTATCGGGCTTCAGTTAACTGTTAATAAGATCATAGAGAGTTCAACCTCTGGTTAACTTAATAGAAGTCTGTGACACAAACAATTTATAACATGAAGCTCCATCTATATTTTATTGAACTTTTAACAACTTTGTCTCTTCATGTACATATTTTTATTGATCGACTTTCTTGTTGCAGGGAAAGAAACCTATGAAACGCCGAAGTGTGGTGTGTGTTGACGGTACAGAGATGGCGCTACCGGACAAATTTTGCGATAAAAGAAACAAGCCATTCGAATACAAGCCTTGCACATCTATACCAGTTTGTGAAGATATCTAACTTATGTTTTTTTTATTAATAAAGTACTTAATACGTTTTTTAGTTAATTATTTTTACTTTTATTTATTATTTAGTCAGAATATAATATTTCTTTTTGAAATGTGTAGAAGATATTTAAAATTCTCTAACTCAAATTTATCTTATCTCGTTATTTAAAAAACATAAATGATGTATCCTCTATATGTTACTGACTTACTAATACTGGTATTTTGTTATTAATAACTTCCTCTTTCAATATTGTAACCAGATCCTACTACATTCTGCGAGGAATTTGCTACACAATTGGCCTCATTTACTATAATTAGAGCCGCTTCTTTGATTTTTCTTTTTTTACCATCCGTTTCTTTTAGGGCTACATTTGAATTATTCCATTGAACCCTATGTTCATTATCCCATGCGTGTTTACATATTTGAGATCTATCAAATTCTCTATTTTTAATATAAGATTGATGTTCACTTATTCTAACATTTAATGGCCCTTGATGTTTCACCTAAATAAAACTGATCGTATTCACAAGGTAGTTTATAAATGCAATTCTTTGTCCTTTCTTGTTCATTGTTAGGTTTGGATTTGGACAAAATAGATCTCAACGTGTTTGTTGTTTTGAATGTTGTGTATGCTGTAGGATCTCGTTCTAAGTTGTTCTGTTCTATTCGATCGATTGTTGAAAATTCCTTATTTATAAACGATAAAGGATAATCATTTTTTGAATAAAATAGATGTTAACAAATGTTTCTCCTCCAAGAACGAATTTTCGTTAGAACAAGTAATTTTGGCTCTATCGTATAAGGATTTAATTATTCCCTTTTTTACATTAATATTGTGATTTGATTTGAAATTTAAATATCTATTGGTGTGTGTTGGTATTCTATACACCTGAGTCTCATATCCAGTATCGTTCTTAGAGATTAAAACATCCAGGAAAGGTAGCGTTTTATTATATTCCTTTTCCATTGTAAATGTTATTGTTTCTTCTTTATCGTTTATATCATTTAGGAATGTGTCCAACAACTCTGATCCATGAGGCCATATTGAGAATACATAGAGTTGTTGGACACATTCCTAAAAGATATAAACGATAAAGAAGAGACAATAACATTTACCATGGAAAAAAAATAAATAATAACATATTTGCAATAGGAACCACAACGAAAATGAATTAGATTTTTGATATTTAGACTAGCTAGGGATAAAAAGAGTAGGAGTACTTGCTGGAGTGCCAAGCGAAAATGGTCTCCTTTCGTATCTTTCCTAAGTTTCTCCTGACTGTAAAGATTATTTTATAGAAGAGTCACATCTCGGCTTTTTCTTAGAAAATAAGCTGGATTGATCGACAAGAGGAACAAACTTCTTTGTTTAAAAGGAAGAGTTTCTATTTAACTTTGGAAAGATAATAAGAGAAAGTGACACATACTGTCAAATCGCTCGTTGCTTAAGGGTTATTTCTAATGGGTCTAGTAAGTTCGTGGACATAGGCGGCGTGAAAGTAATTTTCTGAGAGGAATACTTGAGGAAATTTTAAACATGTTTTAAAATTTCTATTTACAAACGCAAAATTAAGCAAAATGTAAAGTAATTTAGATGTGATCATTAGTTTACATTAGTATTACAAAATACCTAATAATTCAAATCGAAGACTTACAATAATGTATCTTGACAAATTGTTATTGAAAAAAAATCTTAGTGATAATGACAGAGATTCTGTTGGTAATAATTCGCACAAAGCTTTATACTATACAGTAACTTGTTAAATATTTTGCTACATACTGCACTAAATAATAAAATAATTATAATATAATGACAATTAAAGTGGTAATTATTTATTTATTTTAAAACCTTCCACATTGTACTATATTAACGCTATGTTCTAGATTATATCTGTATTATTCAAAAGCCCAATTTCGTCGTATTATTAAAATATTCAACTTTAAAAGTAACCTTTAACTTTCATGTTCATGTACGAAGGTTAGCAAATATTAACTCACTCGATAAAAGGACATTTTATCACACAGGTTTATGCCTGTAATTTGTATTTCCCGTTGACTGACGTAGGTGTTCCCATATCTGAAGATTTTTATCGTGATGTATTAATGTTTTCCATTTATTTTAATTATTTTTAAACATTTTTTTATTTTATAGAACAATATTTTTTTAAATAAAAATGACAATTACAACTTTTTGCTCATAGAAAAACTTTTTAAGTGTGAAATACTTAGTTGTAAGTCAAATTTGTAATTGCAGGATAACATGGTGAATAAAAATTAAATGCCCAATTAAATTTATGTTTTTTGCTTATTACTCCAGTCTTAGAGACAAAAATACCACTGAACCTCTAAAAAATAATAAGAACAACCTAAATTTTGTTGTTAATCATGGTACCCCAAAAATTTTTCAAAAAAGTCTACCACTCCTTCCTCTGGGCTTTGCCCATAAAGGCTTCCTATATAGCGTAGCCCCTTTAGTATATGTCCTAAATCGATATACCAAGAGTCTTACGCTGTAGAAAAAAATGTTTCAAATAAAAAATGTACGTGACATTATTTTGAATGAAAATATCTATTAGCACTTTTTGTGTAGAAATGTGGAATGAACTATTCTCTTACAAACATTACTTAAAACGACCAACGACTTTGAATGTCAGTTACGCGCGAGAAGTCGATTTTAAACAACGTAAATCCATTGCAGACCTTAAGAGGAGCTAAGAGTATGTCCGTTAAATGCTAGAAACAACCCTTAAGTAAAACAAAACAAAAACTAAAAATTAAAAATGGGAACATGGATTGAAAAATCTTCAGGTTTCAGAAAATTGTAAACATGATGAAGGCCAATGTCTTAATATGGACACAGCACCTTAAGAAGAAGAGCTAAATGAAAGTTATTATATAAAATTTTTCTGGCTTCTTATTAAACAATAACTTAAAACTTGCATAATTTAATAACTATAACTGTCCTTCAAAAGCAAAGTGCGCTTCACCTTTTTGTGCAATCCATAGTTAATTATATTTTAAAACACAAACTATAATTTGCAGATATAAATAAATAAATGTATCAAACTATGTTTGTATTTACTTTCAGACTTATAAATCCTGTTGTGAATTAGGTATAAAAGTTTTATATTCAAAAATAGCTAATGCTATTCAAAATAGTCCAGGGAGTCTCGGACCATAGAGTGAGATGGGTGTGTAGAAATATAGAAAAAACAATATATTTTTCCCAATCGTCAATAATAAGTACGGTACCCATTTACAAGTATATATATATATATATATATAATATATATAATATATATATATATATATATATTGTTATGATTTTGTATTTTTGATTTTAATTTATTTACTTGAAACAATCACAAAAATATACTTTCTCGTTATCAATGTCCTAAAAAATAAACTTCTGATATTTCTTATGTTCAGTGAGTTCAAAGTTTTCTAGTTGTATTTATCGGGATAGGAAAAACAAAGGATAATAATAAAAAGTATAATACATAAAATACAGATATTTTTTATTTTATAAAAAAAAAACAATTATTAAATTTGCCGTTATCTTTTCAATCAGCGAATATGCATGTAATGAAATTAATACAAAAAGAAAATTTTAATTCTTATTTTCTTCTTGAGACAAAACAATTTGAAACTAATTTAAATTTGGATACCTTTATAAACTTTTATCTTCCTTATATTTAAAAAATCTATTTTATTATGGAAACAAAACTTTAAAACATTTGATAAACGTAAAAAGGTCTAATCATGCTTTAAACTGGTAACAACAATGAGGTAAACAAATCGCATTTAAGATTTACACACCTTTCAACTTGAAAAAGGAAAATATCTGACCTTTCTTCCCTGGATTGTTTTAGGACCACACAAAGAATTGTCCACCTTCCACAGCAATGTGTTCTTCCACCTTGCGCCTCGGCTTCTTGTTTCAGTATCTGCTCCTTCAGCCAATTTAACTGACTTAATTTAACCTCCTGACTCAATTCTCCAACACTTAACACACGAAAATCACTTCTTCAAACATTCATATAACTTCTTCGTGACCCAAGGATCTCTTTTCTCACCTGGTGCCACAACTATTTAACACGTATTCCAGAAACTGCACACTTTAGATTCAAGGATTTCTTTACATCGACTTGCAATCTACTTCTTCCACAATTCTGCTAACAAGACTGGTAACTTTATCCACTTAACAATGCCGGCCTCCAACTCACGAACACACCGCCTGTCGAGACGCAACCTTTCTTTTCGATCACTCAAACATCACTGTCTTCTCGAACCAACAAAAACTCTATCAACCCTCGGTCTGTCGATTTCCCCTTCCAAAAAGATCGTCTCATCACAAAATCCAAATTTGTTTACCACACTTGTTGGAATGCTAATTACCGTTTTCAAGCAAGGAACTTTAATCTTTTAACAATGGTCATTTCCTTGTAAACAAATAATTTTTATACATTTCAAAGATTTTTGCCTTAGTCATAATAGAAGATTTATACAACACAATACCGGACTAATCCTTCAGGTAACAGCTTATTTTCTATAATGTACAAATGGTTTGTCAATAACTCGTTTAGAATGGCTTAGTTCTTTATAAGTCATAAAATTTCGGTACTAATCTATCTATTTACAAATATACAAACTTTCTATCTTAAAATTAATACATATTTTGTCTTCAGATTTCTTAAAAACTTACTTCCGATGGATTCCTTAATTATTTTTGTTCCTTCCGCGTTTGTGGAAGAAGAAGTATAATAATATATATATATATATATATATATATATATATATATATATATATATATATTATATATATATATATATATAATATATATTATTGTGATATTTAAAGTCTTGGTGCGCCAAGCAATTAATTAATTAAAATTATTTAAATGATATGATTATGACTCTATCACACTTTTTAATTCTCTTATCTCAGGGTTAAATTCGTGCTTCAATATCTATGCTATTACATGTGAAAGGTAAGGTCCAAAGAATACCGGAATAATAAAAAACATATAGGATCTAACATTATAT